TTCAATGTGCCTCTTGTGTTCTTGTTGTTGTTCCTCTCCTGCTGGAGAACGGACAGCCTTATAACTGTTTCGACTTTATGTGCAACAGTTCCAAGGAAGGAACAGTATTAAGAGTGGCTATTGTGTCAGGCTTTTCGGTTTCACAGCCCCTGTTTTTGATTTCTGAGAATCTTCATGCCTCCCCACCTCTCATTACCATCCTCCAACCCCATTCAAAACCAAGTTCAACAGTCAAACTAATTATTTAAAGTAAAAAACAAATACAGTTTTATGAGAAATCCTAAATTCTAAGAATATTATAATATAAATTTGTTTTAAGATGAAAAAAAAAACCTTCATAAAAATTTCACAGCTCTTCTCCCAGGAGACACAGTGGGGTATCAAATTCCCTGACAGGTATTCAACTCACTGAGCCATCCATCCAGTACAGTAGTCCAAAAATTAGGGATGGGAAGCCTCTTTGGGGCAGAGGTCCAGGTTCCATTCCAACCCCTCCATGGTAAAATGATGTGAGGTTATGCCTGCTGGGGTCCCTGGCCTAAGCACCAGGACGTCTCCAGCTGGCACCCAGCTTAGAGACCTTTCCTATATGGGAAAGAAGAGAGAGGAACAAAGTCACATCGAACCATTGCTTAAAGGCTGCAGATCAGCGATTCTAGCTGTCCTCTTTCTTTTACGGGAGGGCAGGGTTCTGGGGGAAAGGTGGACCTGTGGGGAGGGATTTGATTCCAAGATCCCGCTCATCAGACTGGTCAGCCTCAGAGCTTAGGAAAGTTACTTTTTGTACTGTATGCTGGCAGGAGGTTTCTGACAGTTGTAGTTGTAAGAACTAACTTTACAAGCTTCTCAGGCTGTGTCGCAAGGAATGACCAAGGCCAACTGTTTAGGTCAAAATTTGTCCCACAGCCAAAGTCTGCAAACACATTAATGATTAACATTCAATAAACCAAACCAAAAACAGTAACAAGTAGAACGATCACCAAGAAAACAGTTTGAATTGCTCCAGTCTTGGAGTGGCATGGCCTTTCACCTCCAGCGCATGTTCCAAATGATAACAATAGGATTCTTTGTCAATGTTGATATTTAACTGTAGCCTTTGGAGTAAAGAATCATATTTATATCATTTTTAATTGATCTACTTTAATTTTAAAAATATAGAAAACCATATGGATTCATAAGACTACCACAGATGACCTTATTACATTGTTGCTCCACAGGAAGAGACAGCATTTAGCACAGAATATATCAAAGCAGACATGGATGATATTTTAGTACAATCTTCAAGGATTATGTTTGCCTGTTGACATTCCAGTCACAGGAATAAGTCCATCAGTCAGACTAAATGAATCTAGAAACTGAAGTCAATGTATTCTTTATGAAACAGAATGGGATTAATGCATCAGCCCCATTCTCACATGCCAGTTATTTCAATAAAATCTACCAACTCCTTTCTAAAACGAATAGTATTATGAAGTGCCATTAATTTGATTTAATTTCTTACTGAATAAGTCAATATACAATTTCATGCTTTTGCATGAAGTAAATAAGTGAGCCTATACCACCTTCAATGATCTCTGCCTCAAATGATTTAATTCAATTTATGGCTGTGGCATACATGATTCTAAATTCATGTAGATTTCAGTTTTAGGCAATGTCATAGGAGTAGGCATCTAGGCCCCAAGATGTTGTTGGATTCAAACTCACATGATACCTTGTCCTTGGCCATGCTGGGTGGGGCTGAGAAAAACTGAAGCCCAGGAAGCTCTAGAAGGCCATAGCCTCCCTACCTCTGGTATATCCCAAGGACACCATTCACTGGGAAGTCCTCCTTTGAACAGCCTATAGCAATGAACAGAAGCTGCTCAAGGGCATGGTAAGATAATTTCACCAATGGCTTCTGTCCAAAATGTTCCATCGGAGTTCAAGTGCCAAAGGTCCTTAAACTAGATGAATTAAGAGCAGTGTTATGAAAAGCATCTCAGGCGGTGGCTTGTAACTGTTTTATGTTGATTAAAACAAGGGTCTGACAAGTGAATGGGGACGTGGTGGCGCTGCAGGCTAAACCGCAGAAGCCTGTGCTGCAGGGTCAGAAGACCAAGCAGTCGTAAGATCGAATCCACGCAACGGAGTGAGCGCCCGTCACTTCTCCCAGCTCCCGCCAACCTAGCGGTTCAAAAGCATGCAAATGCAAGTAGATCAATAGGGACCACCTCGGTGGGAAGGTAACAGCGTTCCGTGTCTAAGTCGCACTGGCCATGTGACCACGGAAGATTGCCTTCGGACAAACGCTGGCTCTATGGCTTGGAAACGGGGATGAGCACCGCCCCCTAGAGTCGAACACAACTGGACAAAAATTGTCAAGGGGAACCTTTACCTTTACCTTTACCTGACAAGTGAAGCAAATTTTACCTGACAGACATATGAAGTCTGGAAAAAGCTAACTATATGGTTTGTGCATACAGTTATGTTTTAAATGGCAAGTGTATATCCTGTGTTCATTATATCGGGTCTATTTTCCTTAGCTATTTTAAAGAAAAGAAATACTGTATTTGCATCGGATCTGAATGGGCATTTTCTGTTTTTCAGTGCCAGTGCCATTTGAATTAACAAATAAGACGAGAATTTTAAGAACGAAACCAGATTACATTTCAGCTGCTACACTGACTCTACAGAGCTCCATTTTTTGTCTCCTTTACCTTGCTGGTAGGCAGCCTAGAAGTTCTATTGAAGTAGATGAAAGACTGAAAGAACTGGGCATGTTTGAATGGGCATTTTCTGTTTTTCAGTGCCAGTGCCATTTGAATTAACAAATAAGACGAGAATTTTAAGAACGAAACCAGATTACATTTCAGCTGCTACACTGACTCTACAGAGCTCCATTTTTTGTCTCCTTTACCTTGCTGGTAGGCAGCCTAGAAGTTCTATTGAAGTAGATGAAAGACTGAAAGAACTGGGCATGTTTTGTTTAGCCTGCTGGTAGGCAGCCTAGAAGTTCTATTGGAATGAAGTAGATGAAAGGCTGGAAGAAATGGGCATGTTTAGCCTTGAGGAAAGAAGACAGAGGGGTGATATGATAAGACATTTCAAATACTTGAAAGGCTGTCATACAGAGGAAGGGCAGGATCTGTTCTAGATCATCCCAGAGTGCAGGGCATGCAACAAGGGGCTCCAGTTACAGGAAGCCAGATTTTGACTGAATATCAAGAAAAACTTCCTAAGTCTCAGAGCAGTAAGACAGGGGAAACTACTACCTTGAGAGGTGGTGAGTGCTCCAACACTGGAGAGATCATCCCAGAGTGCAGGGCATGCAACAATGGGCTCCAGTTACAGGAAGCCAGATTCTGACTGAATATCAAGAAAAACCTCCTAACAGGGGAAACTACTACCTCGAGAGGTGGTGAGTGCTCCAACACTGGAGGCATTCAAGAGAAACGTAGATAACCACCTGGCAGATATCCTTTGATCTGTATTTCTGCATTGAGCAGGGGGTTGGACTTGATGGCCTTATAGCCCCCTCCCAACTTCACTATTCTATGATTCTATGAAGAATACATTTTGCTTCCTAATTCCTTGGTAATTTTTTAAAAATTACAGAACATGGCCAGATTATATCTTCAAGGAGAGTATATGGTAAAAATATATTTTAATAATGTGTCCTTCATATATACCACTCCACAGCACTTAAAGCACTCTCCGGATGGTTTACAATTTAATTATGCAGGCTACACATTACCTCCATTGCCCCACCCCAAGCTGGGTACTCAATTTATCAACCTTAGAAGGTGGAAGGTTGAATTAACTTTGAGCCAATCAGAATCTGACTGCAGTTTAACCCCTGTGCCATGAGGACCCCTTTAATAATAATACTATGTTGGCTCTAGATGTAGTCAGTACAAGGCAACTTTCTGTTGCCCTTGTTTATAGATTCTCTCTCTCTCCTACTGTACTTTCAGTATCAGTCCTATAAACATAGGACTGTTTCATAGAAAAAGTGGACTAGAAAACAAAATAAATAGCTTGCTTTTGTACATGGAGGTGAGGGTTGGGAGAGAATCTGAATAAGTTATGAATCTATTAAATCACATTTCTAGAACACCAACAGGGGATCTATAATGTCTTTCATATGAAGCAAATGTGACATTTGCAAGCAAATTTAAGAAGCAAATCTCCAGTTAGATCAACTTGCTTTTATTAGCTTCATCTAAACTTAGTCATAGAGCATACCTACTGAAATCAGTGGGACTTAGATTAGGTATGATTAAATCTGTATCCAGACATTATCTATTCATTTTCCTAGAAACTTCAAGGGCTATGGTCTTTTAAATGTCTCATATTGGAGGCTTTGATTACAGCCGCAAACTATCCCAGTCAGCATGGCCAATGGGTAGAGATGATTGGCAGCTGAAGCCCAGAAATGGCCAGGCTAGTAAAGTTGATTTAAGTGGGTCATACGCATGAGGAAGCTTCCCACAGTTTTCTATGAAATGGAATCACTTGATCAGAGAGTGAAGTGTAGTGGGCAACAGGGCGGGCTCTCGCCTTAGCCAAAGTGAGGCATCCACCTAGTCACTAGGGAAAACTGTATCAGCGGGAGGGCCTCTGTTATCCCTATTTTGGAAAGCCTCACTTTCTAGAACCGCCAGGCTACAAGTGTCTGGCTTTGAGAGGTCCTGAAGTGCCAGCCACTTTGGGAGTGATGCCTTAGAAGACTACCTGGCCTATTTATTTATTTATTTATTTAT